AAAAGTTAACACTCCAGGCCTTCTTGGTGAGGTTTAGGGCTTATATGCAATGTGTGAAATTAGTTGGCTAAGACTCAGAGCTCCAAGAAAATGCTGTGTTGGTCCTTTTGGGGTTTTGCACACCATCCCTGCTGGCTCGGGCAGTGGAGCACAGAAGTTCTTGGCAAGGCTGGAGAACCAGCTGGAAAACTTCAGGGCCTGGGACACAGTGGGCTGGGCAGGCCTGGGTCTTAACCATTTTTCCCTTCTTTTCCCTGAGAGAGGGCAAGAACCCTGTATGGGTGGCCTTACTTAGTAGTATCTGCCTGGAGCAAGGAGAGGGCCTGGGAAAGAGGGCCTTCCTGTGGACAGAAGCAACCCAGAGACCACGTGGGAGTGAAGGCTATTGGCACACCTTTGGGGGGCTTTGCTCTAAGCCACCTGCTAGGAAGTGGCCCCTCAGGAAACAGCCTTAAGGCAGTATGGCAGGTGCACCTGGGTGGCTCAGTCGGTGAAGCTGAAGCATCTTGCCTTCGGCTCAGGTCATGATTCCAGATCCTGGGATAGAACCCCATGTCAGGCTCCCTGCTCAGCGGGGAGCCTGCTTCGCCTTCTCCCTCTGCCTGCCTCTCTTCCTGCTTGTTCTCTCTCTCTCTCTGCCAAATAAATAAATAAAATCTTAAAAAGAAAACCAAACACCAAGCAGCAGCATTTATTTAAAAAATGCAGGGGGACAGCATGGCAAAGCAGCCCCACCTCCCTGCCTGAGATGTAAGCACTCCAGCTCATCCCTCCTGCCTGAGCCTTACCTAATCTCTCTGAGCTTCAACCTCACTCAATAAAGTATTGTTAATAATGCCCTATCTGGCAGGATTGCTGAGGAAATTAAAAAAACATATGTAGATTCTGGAGAATAAAGGAGGTGAGTCATGTGACTCTGGAAGATAGTGTTTTGAGTAGAAAAAGCAAGGCTAAAGACAAAAGCAAGTGCATATAAACACTAATGTAGGTAGTAAAGCATTTTCCCAGAGGGATACAGGTTAACAATCTTGAAACTGCTGTACGTGAATACTGGAAGCAAACAAACACCTGAATGGATGATGGGTAGTAGGCATCAGCTCCCCAGTTGTCCCTAGGGACCCATGGTGCTCCACCAGGACACTGCACTATGGTAACGAGGCTGGTCAATGAGGTATTGGAACTAGAACATATTTAAACATTACAGATAAAATCAAAATCAGTTGAATTATGATGGCCCTGTAACAAGTTGCCCCCAAACCTAGTAAAAGATGAATCTTTTACTCTGCCCATGGCTTCTGAGGGTCAGGAATTCAGGCAGGGTAGATGGCTGGACTTGGAGGGGATGGCTAGTCTCTGCTCTGAGATGTTTGGGGACCCAGCTGGAATATCCTAAAGGCTAGACAGCAGAATCATCTGAAGGCTCATTCACTGGCATATCTGCTGGTTGGCTGGGACCCTGCCAGACCTGTTGGTTGGAACACCTCCGTGTGGCCTGGGCTTCCTTGCAACATGGTGGCTGAGTGCTAAAGAAAACAGAAAGAGAGAAACAGAGAGAGAGAGAAAAAGAGAGAGAGAAGAAGGAGGAGGGCGGAGGGGGAGGGGGAGGTGGAGGAGGAGGAGGTCCTACGATCTTTTATGACCCAGCCTTGAAAGTCTGGAAGTATTACTCTCCTGCCTTCAATTGATGGAGGTGCCTACAAAGTCCACCCTGCTTTCCATGGAGTGTCAACTCGTAAGAAGAACATGTGGCGTGGGAGATACACTAGTGTGGCCACCTCTGGCATATATAATCTCCTATAGCCACATCTAATGTCGCTCCCTCTTCCCAAGGTCACCACCATTCCCAGGGGGGATGTGATTATCTTCAGATGCCCCCCTATGTTTTGCATGCATAGACAACAAAGATTTGGTTTGGGGCTTTTACGGGAGAGGGTAGTATGTTTAACTTTCACTAAAGCGGAATTCCCTTGCATTTTGCTTGGTTTGCACTTCACGTGAATTCATTTATTGGCATGCATAGATTTCTTTTTTTACTGTAGTGTAGTATTCCATAGTTTGATTATGCTGTACTTTAGGTAACTTTTTTCTTTTGATGGATCTTTGAAATGTTTCCCTTTTTTCCTATTATAAATAATACTGCAACAAATATTTCTCTATGTATTATTTCATGCACATAGCACGAAGTATGAACATTTCCCAGGAAAGAGATGGAAGAGTAAAAGGCTGAGTGAAAGAACACATCCACTTTTAACTGCAGTGCATGCTATCCAGTTTCCTCGGAGAAAGGCAGGCTCTCTGTTACCAGTAGAATATAAAAAGTCTTCACTTCCTTATGCCCTCACTTGCCCAGAGAATGGTCCGTCTTTTTCAATCCTGTCTGTCTTCCGGGCAAATGCGATACACTGCACATCATGTGTTTTTAATTTGTAGTTTCCTCATTATAGTTAGGCTGAGTGGGGCTGAACATCTCCTCTGTTTCTCAGCCATCTGCATTCCTTCTCCTGGGAATTGCTTGTCCATTTCCTTCACTGAGCTGCTCATTGCAGTTTCACTAAAAAGCAGAGAGAAGTGAAAATTGAAACAGTGAAGGTTTTTTAAAGAAATGAAGTTAAAAAAAGATGATAAGGACACCTGATGCTTGTGATGATTGAGATCATTTCGGTCCAGAAAAATGGTCCTATAATTAGGATGTTAACTTATATTTTCTTTCTACACACTTTTAATTAAAACACAGCCCTAGTACCATATGAAAATATTCCTAATTGTTTTATATGAGGTGAAACCCATGGTGGTTTAAAAAGAATAGCGAAGGGCAGCCCCGGTGGCACAGCGGTTTGGCGCTGCCTGCAGCCCAGGGCGTGATCCTGGAGACCCTGGATCGAGTCCCACGTCGGGCTCTCTGCGTGGAGCCTGCTTCTCCCTCTGCCTGTATCTCTGCCTCTCTCTGTGTGTGTCTCTATGAATAAATAAATAAAATCTTTAAAAAAAAAAAAGAATAGCGAATAAAAATTTTCAGCATCACTTATTGACTCACAGACTTTTGTTATTTGCTTTATCTCTTAAAAGTTCAAATATATGTAAGTGCCTAGTGGCTCAGTCTGTTAAGTGTCCAACTCCTAATTTCATCTCAGGTCTTGATCTCAGGGTGAGTCTGAGATCACCTGACTCAGGAGCTCAAGTCTGAGTCAGGCTTCAAGCTCAGCGAGTATTCTGCTGGAGATTTTTCTCTCTCCTCCCTCTGCCCCTCCCTTTGTTCATTCTCTCTCTCTCTCTCTCTCTCTCTCTCTCTCTCTGTTTAATAAATAAAATCTTTTAAAGATTCAGATATATAATATGATCCTTTTCTGGACTACTTTTATTTTGCATTGATCTGCTAATTTTTTTGTGCTGGCACCGCCTTGTTTTTATAAGGCAAACCTCCGGATTTATCTGATAAGAGAGAACACAATTACAGTATTTCCTCTTTCAACTAGGGAGCATTGTCCCTTTGTAGGTACAAGTGTGACTTCTCATCATTCCATCAGAGTACATTTTCCTAGGTGCTGGCTGTGTATGAGTGGCATTGGGGTTACTTTTGGAATACAGGGATTATTTCCAATCCATTAGCTTTTTGAGCTGTCTAGATTTGGGGAAGCAGAGGAATAGAGTTGGTGACACTGGGCAGAGGTGGGAGGGAAATGGAGAGAAGTATTTTGAAGGAAGTGTGTTCCAACACTAGGACCTCCAGGAGCAGAGAGAGGTGGCAGGCGGGAAGGTGTGCCAGAGTGACCATGTCTGGACTGAGGTTTGTGCAAGTGGAGCATGGGAGGGGACCCATAGTCATGGAGTGGGAACCATTCTTCCTTGGGGTAGTAGAGAACTGAGATGCGGAGCGAGGGCCACTCTGCGAGGTAGGCATGCCCTTGACTAATACCATCAGCAGCTCCAATGTATTTAGTTATTCATTGATTAGATATTTTCTAGAATGCTTGTAAATGTGTCAAACATTATTCTAGACACTAGGGATATGACAGAGGAAAATTGAATGGACTCTGTCACGGAGCTTACATTTAAGAACAGAGACAGACACAGATAAACCCATTATGCATGTGCACATGGACACGAAAGTGTCTGAGGGCAAAAACTAAAGCAGGGTAAGGGGGAGAGATGGAGGGCAGACAGGTACTATTTCAGCAGAGGGGACTGAGAGAATGAGCCAGCAGGAGCTTGAGGAGGGTGTGCCTGGTAAAAGGGCAAGTGCAAAGGCCCTGAGGGGGTGTGTCCTTTGTGCCTGGGGACCTAGGCCGTGGAGGGCCAAGACAAATGAGGCAGGGGTGGGACAATGAGGAGGAGGTAAGACTTTCAGTCATCTGCTGTTGAGGGAGGCCCATTTTGATGTTGGATGATGACAGTGTATATGTGAACTACACACATGTAGTTAAGTGAATGTGGTGTGAATTATTGCATATGCATGTGTGAACATATGTGTATCATTAGGTAAATATGTGTGTGAATTTGAGTGTATGTGTGAGTTTATATGGGTATGAATGTGTGTGTGTCTGCATCTGTGTGTTTATGTATGTTTGAGTGTATGTGTGTCTAAGTGATTATTATGTGCACGTCAGTGTGAGGAAATGCCTGTTTATATGTGTATAAGCATCTTTGTGGGTATGTTTAGGTGTTTGCGTCTCCATGCATGTGTAAATGTTTATATGTGTCTGTGTTTGTGTTTTGTGTTTGTGTCCCTGACAATAAACAAGACAGGAAAGGGTCCAAGGTGAAATGAGATCCTGATGGGAAGCCTTTCCTGGCCTCCAGGCTGGGTGTCAGTCCTTGCCATGGTCACAGAACAAGCTAGTGTCATTGATGAGGTCACAGAATAAAGCCAGGATCCTAGTGACCACAGAGTGCCTGGCAGCTGCAGGAAGCCGGCTGGGGCCAGTGGAGGGCTTCAGCACAGTCCAAGCCAACTCTCAGCAAACAGCTGGGGCATTGAGTCCCCTGGGTGCTGGAGTCCAATCATGAAACGTCACTTCACAGACCATAAGGGAGAACAATCACCAACAGAAAGGGCCACCCTCAGCTTGGTCAGCCCAGAGTCCATGGAAGAGAGCGTGGAAGTATGCTGGTCAGGTAGGTCAAAAGAAGGGGCTGCAGGGTGGCTGCCATGTGTGTTCCCTGGGAGGGAGGTCTTGGAGGGTGAGGAGCTGGCACTGGGTCACCCCTTGGGGCTGTTACCAAAGTGTTCAGGGATCATAAGAATGGATGGCGGGTATGCGTGGGGCCCTTGTGAGGACATGAGGTGATTTCAGAAGGTACGAGGATGAACTGTAATAATGTTGATCATTATATATTTTAATGTGCATTGAGAAACAAGAATGGCCATGTCAATACTATGATTTCAGAATAATATAAAAAAGTCCTTTATACTAAATTGACTAAAGCTAATCTAGAACATCAATTTGAAGACTCCTCTGAAGTGATCACTGGCAGCCACCTAAGGGTGATACCAGCTCATCCGTCAAACTCTCTGTGCCTCAGTTTCTTAATCTGTCAAATGGGAATCACAACAATTCAATTCCTTAGGGTTTTTTCAGTATTAGTAGAGTTGAAACATTGCAAGCACTTAGATGGTGATGGGATACAGTGGATGTTCAAGAAGAGGGCGACATGTTCCCCATGTAAGACAGAGATACATCACAAATGCCAAAGGGGAAGGTGGGGCTGAATGGCCTGGCCAAAGCATGTTCCGTGTGTGGCTTTTTAAATTGGCTTTATTGAGCTATTAATTTAAATACAGAAATATCATAAGTTTTAAGTGTACAATTTTAAAAAAGATTTTATTAATTTATTTGAGACACAGAGAGAACACAAGCAGGGAGAGTAGTGGAGGGAGAGGGAAAAGCAGGCTCCCCACTGTGCAGGGATACTGATGTGGGGCTGGATCTCAGGGCCCTGGGATCATGATCTGATCTACAGGAAGACATTAACTAAGTCACCCAGGTGCCTCTTTAAGCATACAATTTGAAGAATTTTGATAAGTGTACATTTGTGTAACCACCACAATCATGATACAGAATATTTCCATCATCACCAAAGGTTCCTTGTGACCCTTTACAGTCAGTTCCCTGGCCACCCCAGCTCCTGGGAGCCTGTGATTTCTTCTCTCTCCCTCTAGCTTTACCTTTTCTAGAACATCATCTAGGTGGAATCCTATACTATATGGCCTCTTTACCCACGGTGCTTTCACTTAACAGAATGCATTAGGGATTCATCCACATTCCTTCTCACCAGTGAATAGGCTTGCAGGGTATGGATGAATCATAATCTGTCTACTCCCCAGTTGATGGTCTTTGGGGGCTTAGTCGAGTTTTTGGTGATTACATTCATGCATTATATGATCCTCATCAGTACCCCATAAGGTAAGCATTGTCACCTCCATTTTATGAGGCAACAGATACAGGAGGGAACAGTCCCTGCTCAGGGGCCCTGAAGCCTACACCGTTTCAGGGTCCTGAAGGTGGGTTGTGGTACTGACCCCTGCAGGGACACTGACGAAAAAGTCCTTCTACCTCTCAGGGGCTGTAAAGAAAGAGGAGACCTCTCTGTGGCCAGGACCGGCCATTCTCCATGAGGAGGACATCTACTTGGCCAGCAGGGCTCAGGTGATGCTGAGCTGGAGCAGCTCTCCATCCTCCCAGTCCTCCTCCGAGTACCAGTCCTACTCCCAGTACCAGTCCTGCTACTCCTGCACATACGACGATGAGGACACGGCCCAGCAGAGCATGTGTGCCTTCTACACCCACGTGCAGACGGTGCAGGCAGTGGCCGTGGCCTGGGAGACTGAGACAGGCTTCAAGCCCATCAGCAGGAAGCCCCGCATTCGTGAAGCCGAGTTCATCAAGAGGCAGAGGAGGAAAGGCTCCTCATTTGAGATGGCTTCCAACGCTGCACTGGGAACTAGAAGCCAGCAAGAACAACTGCTGCCCAGAGCAGGATGACACGGAGCTGCTGGGCACCCTGGAGTGCTGCCTGCAGAAGCTGCGGGACACTCCGGACTGGCTAGTCACTACAAACTACGGGCTGCGCTGTGTGGCCTGCTGTCGGGTCTTCCCCACATTGGAGGCGCTGCTCAAGCACGCCCATTATGGCATCCAAGAGGGCTTTAGCTGCCAGATCTTTTTTGAGGAGATGCTGGAGAGAAGGCAGGCCCGGGGCCAAGTGCAGGAGCTGGACAAGGAGGAACAGAGCCCTGCAAGAAGGCAGTGAATGCTCAAGGTCCCATGCTGGGGTGCTTCCCTCGCAGTGGCAGAAGCAGTGAGCTGGAGGTGATGTGCCTAGCCCTGCCCTCACCTCCAGCACCTCGTTTGCTCCTTCCCCAGCCAGCAGGACCAGAACTCTAGGGGCAGGGCCAGAAAAGGAGGGACAGGGGAAGGAAGGGAGCAGGAGCTAGAGCTGGGAAGGCCGTGACAAGGGAAGGGGGGGAAGATCCCTTCCAAAGGGCACAGCATTTCAACCAGAATCCATTTCTAACCTGAATCCAAAGAGGAGGGCTTCAAATGTTTCTTATGATGGGCACAAGATCTGAAGCTTGCAAGCATGTGGCCACGGGGTTTTTTATTTTTGTTGGTGGATCAAGCAGGTCCTGACTCACAGAAGAGCCAACTGCAAATGAAATGTCAGCCCTATATTTTTCATTGTTAGGAACCCGCCAAATGCCCTCGTTCTATGTCTTATTATAGTGGGATTAAACTTGAGTAACTGAAAAAATAAATAAATAAACTTGAGTAACTGAAAATGTAAGGCAACTTTTAAAGGAGTGAACTATGCTTTTAGGTCAGAGCCATAGGAAATTGCCATTTCTGTAGGGTACACACCAGCACAGACACCTGGAGAGAGGCAGGTTTCCAGAGAGATGGGATATGGGTAAGTCCTGCTACCTATAAGTTCATATGTCAACTACAGGTTTTAAAATGTTGTTACAGAATTCATTTGCATACTCCTATCTGTCCCCAGCTCAGGGAGTGGCATTCATTCAAGAAAATACATGGATGTCTCACTGTGTGTTAGGCTGATGAAACATGTAGATAGAATAGACAGCTGCAAAGCAAGGGGGTGAATCACATAAAGGAGGTTTGGGGAGCTCAGGCGAGGGCCCCCCAAACTCACACTGGTTGACAAGGAAAACTTTCCAAAAAGAGGCAATGTTCACAAAGGTTTGCCTCCAAACCTTTGGAGGTAGAACAGGTAGAATTAGTAAGAGCGGGCTTCTCACTTTTGATGTTGACATTTTAGGTTGAGTAATTGTCTTCACGTCAGCGAGAGCTATCCTCTCTCCACTGTAGGATATTCAGGAGCAGCCTTGGCCTCTACCCACCAGATGCCAGTAGCATCCCCTTCCCTACAATTGTGACAGTCAAAAATGTCCTAGATATTAACAAACATTCCCTGGAAGCAAAATTGCTTGTTGGTTGATAATCACTGAGCTAGACAAGAATGAGGATCTTAGAAGAGGGAATGGCACAAGACGTTTGAGCAATTGCCAGCCACTTGGCCTGGTTGGAACTCTGGAGACATTTCTCCCCTCATACATTCTATAAAGATTTAGCACCTGCTATGTGCCAGACACTGTACTGTGCATGTGAAGCAGACAGTGAACAGGCATGGATGGTTCCCTGTGGAGCTTACAGCTGGTGGGCAAAAATAGACTCCATATATACAGATTTAGAAATAATTATGGAAGTACCTGTTTTATGGCCTCCAAAGCCCAGGCTCTGCTACCATGGCCCAGGCTTTGCTACCTTCTCCATCACCATTTCACAGCATTCATTGATTCACTCACCATGTTCCAGCCCCATTAGCTTTCTTTATGTGCTTCAAGCTTTCATACCTCAGGGCCTTTGCACTTACTCTCTCCTCTAAGTGGAGGGCAAACCCTTCTCTGTCACTCTTCTGGCCAACTCTTTACTTATCCTTGAGGTTTCAGCTTTGTCACTTTTTCAAAGGGGCCTTCTCCAGTCATGCTATCTTAGTGTATGCCTGATTCTGTTTGCAGGTGGTTTTAAAAAGAGAAGTAGCATGTAGCATGATCAGATTCATGTTCCAAACTCATCCTGGTGGTATGTGAAATATGGATTGGTACAGTAGCAAAAGAAGAAAGGAATAAGTAGGGAGACCACTTAAGAGACTATTGCAGAAGTCCAGACAAGGGACAATGTGGCTTGGATAAAGCTTGTCAGATGCCAAGAGGGAGTGAATGGATGTATTCAAGACATATTTGGGGGAAATCTTAGAACAGTGAAGCAGGTGAGAGAGGGCTGCATCCTGAACAGACATGGAGAAATGGGCCTTTGACAATAACATCTTTGTGTTCTCTGTTGCATCAGATGGGCAGTTAGGTCAAGTAGGGCTTAGGAGACAAAATTATAAAACTTGAATTCCCACCCCTCACTCCCCACTGAAAACTGCAAGAGCTCTTGAGGAATTGTAAGCAAGTCAAGTTTGCATTTGCAGAAAATTAGGCTGGTGAGCAGGGCTAAGAGTGGATGAGAGAAAGCACTGTTGGCAACAAGGAGTACGGTTAACATGCAGAATGAGCTTAAGAGATTTGAGAGATGGAAGTGAGAGATTTTGGCAAGCATTTGAGGAGGGTGGTAAGAGGACTGTGTCCTGAATGACTTCCAGGTTTTTCAAATAGGTGGCTAGTAAATATTGGTGCCATTTCCAGATGATGGAAAACCAAAGTAGAAGATTTACTGGGATACCAATGAGTCTACTTTTGAAAAAGCTCAATTTGTTATAGAAATATCAAGAAGGGAGTTAGAAAGATCTGGAGCTTGGAAGAGTATTACATGAGATGAAGATAGATTTGCTGTCATCTATGTGTATGTGGTTAGCTAAGGCCATGGTCCTTTAGGTGGACTTCATGTGGGATGCATTTTCTCTGCTAGCCTCAGTGCAACAGGAAGTCATGAGATCATCTTAGAATGGACATCAGCCATGGGGATGACATCTTATCACAATTTTCAAGATGTAGCAGAATCACAGACTTTCTAAATTCATTGTGAAAGCGGGGAGGATCTTAGAAAGAAAAAAGAAAAAGAAATGAGGCAATAGCCCTACTTGTTAAACTCTTCTTAGAAAAGCTATTTGGTGTTTGAGGAAAGCTCAGTAGGTAGGCAGAATCCAGGCACAACCTAAGGGGAGGGGAGGCAGCTGAGCCAGAAATAGTAGAGCACTAGTGAGAACATTTCTATTTTGAAATCAGTGTGCAAAGGAAATAAAATGAGTCATGGCTCTGGAATTTCAGCCTTTAAGATGAATGTTGCCTTGATATTCTAAGCACCAAGCATTGCTCTAGATATCCTGTGAACATTAAGTCATGTAATACTCTCCACAATCTAATGAGGTGGGTCCTATGATTAGTTTGATAGGTAAGTAGGCTGAGACCTTGCCAAGGCTATACAGCTGGTGTACAGCAGAGTCAGGCTTTATACCAGTCAGTGTAGTTTCAAAACCTATGCTGTAACCATCACACCGAGAAGAAAATTTTAGTGTAAAGACAGATGCAAGGTATTTAGAAAAGCAAACATGTCAACTCCACAGGTTGTATTTTCTTTAGATTAAGTAGCAGCAGCTGGAGATCAGGAAAAAATGATGGGCATTCAGAATAAATGAAAGATGACAGGAACCTTGGGTAAGCAAACTCTTAATGTAGAGGATAACTTATGCTGACATGGATGGGGGGAGGAACGGATAAAATCGCTCTTAAATAGTGACTTGTTCTTAAAATATAACTGAACAGTATTTACTTGTGGTTTAAACTCATCACTTTGCAGAAACCTGGGACTGCCACCAAATAAGAGAAGTATCAGGGTGAGTAAGCAGAACCACTCTGGAGGCTCAAGGGATCTAAACATTTTAGATATTGAACCACTTTAGACCTTTTGTTTTCCAAACCATAGAAAAAGATGCAAATCATTTTATGACACTATGGAAACCTGATAACAATGCCTTTCAAAGACAGCACTAAAAAAGTGAATATATCAATATTACTTATAAACAGAAAATAATTAATTGAAATTTTTCAGTTAGGGCACCAAGATAATTCAACAGGGGAAAGAATAATCTTTTATATAGTGCTGGGACAACTGGATAGATCTATATGCAAAGGAGTGAAGTTAGATCCCTACCTCACACCATATGTGAAAACTAAAATGAAAAAGACTTAAATGTAGTAGTTAAAACTATAAAACTCTTATAGGAAGACAAAGGTGTAAATATCCATGATGTTGGATCAGGCAATGGTCTCTTAGATATGACACCAAAGCACAAGCAAACAGAGAAATATAAGTTGAACTTCATCAAAATTAAAAATTTTTGTGTTCAAAGGACATTATCAAGAAAGTGAAAAACAATCCATAGAATGAAAGAGAATACTTGCACAACACATATCTGAAAGGGTTAGTACCCAAAACATATAAAGAACTCTTATAAGTCAACAATAAAATACAAATATTCCAATTTAAAAATAAGCAAGATATTTAAAAGATATTTCTTTAGAAAAATATATAAATGAGCAATAAGCACATGAAAAGATGCTTAACATCATTAGTCTGTAGGGAGGTGAAATGGTGCAGCCACTTTAGAAAGCATTCTAGCAGTTCCTCGAAAAGCAAAAAATAGAGTTACTGTATGGCCTAGCAATTCTGATACTTGAAAATGTAGGTCCACACAAGAGTTTGTATATGAATATTCATAGCAACATTATTCCTAATAAAAAATAGTAAAAACAACCTACATGACCATCAAATGATGAATTGAGAAAATGTGGTATATCCGTATGATGGCATATTTTGCAGCCATATAAAGGAACACAGTACTGATCCATGCTACAATGTGAGATGGACTTTGAAAACTATGCTAAGAAAAAGGAGTCAGACACAAAAGGTATACTACATAATGAGGTACACTATACATTATATAATGCACGATTCTATTTATATGAAATGTGCAAATAGACAAATTATTGTAGAGACAGAAAACAGATTAGTGGCTGCCAGGGATTTGGGGGAAGGAGAAGACTGGGAAGTGCTTGCTCATGGGTATGGAGCTTCCTCTTCAGGTGAGGGAAATATTCTAGAATCAGAGAGTAGTGATGGTTACACAACTTTTGAGAATCACTATAAATTAATACATCCGTCTAAAAAGAAATGTAATACAACAACTATATATTATTATTTAAATTTTAGAGGGGGAGGCGCAGAAGGGGAGATCATCTTGAGCAGGCTCCATGCCATGGAGCCTGACCTGGGGCTCCAT